GTAAATGCGTTGCCTGAAGAAAAAAAATATATCAGTGGTTATATTAGAAACATTTAATGTAATCAGATTAGTATAAGCTTATATTAAAGATGAACACGACTCGTAAATAGACAAACGCCATTTTCGATATCATTATCTACGATACATCAGCACCAGAGTATTCTCTTCAAATGCGCCATACCTGACTGCTTTATTATCACGGGTATAGTCGTGGCAGCAAGTGTTTGTGCTGCTTATCTTGCATTACTTTTTTTTTTAAACTTTTTATAGCAGTTATGTGTTACTGTGTTTGTTAGTATACTGCACTGAACTGTAAAACTATAATTGTAAGTTTCGTTGGTATCTTACTTTACTGCATTAGACTAAGAATTATGTTATATTATCGCGCCCGTCTCCACCTTCGTCGGCTGATTACACTGAAGACAGAATACGTCCTGCAAATTTTATAGGGGTCTGCAGTTATAGCGATTCTCCGAACAAAAGGGCGGACAAATTCTATTCACGAATCGTGTTCAGCTTTATTGACTGAAGGAACTTACCAGCGTCTCCACTATAACCTGAGACCTTTAAAAAATATCCCGACTCCTCATTCCCAACATTGAAGGTGCTGTAGCTTGCATGTCGAGAATTTCCTAAGAAATCCTTCAAGTCGAATCGTATAGTGTAGTTTCCTGAGTTTGTAATAGTGTGGATTTTGTCATTCCCTATAAAACATTTTCTGCCAGCGTGAAATATAAATATACAGTTTTCTTTGCATTTTAAGAAAGAAACAAAAATAATACGTATTCCAACCGAAAATTTAATGCATGAAAATGAAAGATAAAAACACGGAATGGACACTCCGTTTTGCGTTTGTACAGTTTTAAGTATATGAGGGCTGTTCAAAAAATAATATTCTGAACTGTATGCCATACGAATATGAAAAGAATTAAATCTATTCATATTTGCATTAAGGTAATGAAAAAAATGTGTACGGGGCGTCCATTGTTTTGTTGATATATACAATACTGTTGTCATCTGACATAAAACTTGACGTTCTCTCATAATTGAAACTTTAATGAATTTATAACTGTCTATATGACAATTTTTCATCACATAGTTTTATTGTGAGAAGCTGGGAATCAAGGGCTATTCGAGACACTGCATTATAAATGAATGATAAAGAACCGGCAAACTAGAGTGAAAAATGATAGCTTCATCAAAGCTACTATAAAACTTGTTCAAAAAAGATATATTCACTGAAATGTTTTATAGACAAATGAGCAGGTGGATTTCAATGATAAAAATGTAACGGGCATAAGAAATGAATACCGTCCTTGCCGACGAAAAAATATAACAACTTATGTACTGTTTGCCGTATTTCAACAAACAATATTTGATGCTGTATGATTGTTTTTACGTCAAAAAGTATGTTTTATAGACATCATGTCGGGAGTAGTTTAGACTATTTTTAAGAATCGTTTCACGGTAAAAAAGCTTAGTTATCAAAGGTCACCCTACATTTTGAAAAATGAGAGAAAATCACAGCATGTACAAATTTCTTAACAATAACCGGGGTATGTTAAAATATCAGTAATTGTATTTATCCACGTTTGTTTGATATTCAAACAGATAATGGAATATAAATTGCTTAATATCCTCAAAACAAAATTTCCAATAAGATGTACTTGACAAAAGCAGTGAAGGTCTGGTGAGAGCAAAGAATTGCAAGGGCACAAGGACATATTTTATATGCCATTTTTTTAAATATTAGTGGTACTATTGTTCAAATTCGTATTCGGGGAGACGGTTTTATATCAAGAGCAGTCTAGAAAGCAAAAATAAAGTTTTAAATGTTCATTAGAAGAAGGACACAGATTCAGGAATCCACTACATTAAATTTCTTCATGACAGCGTCCAAACCCGCACGCCCTGAAGAGTAAAGATGTTTTTTGGGATAAACAGATAGTAAATATTCCTTCACAATAACAATATTCGCCAGATCTTTGACCTTTTGACTTGTTTCTATTTCCAAACCTGAAAAATACCTCTCGCAAGGAAGAAACAAGTACATGAAATTATTGGATCTGCCATTTTCCAGTATACTTTGGGTCATAAACAAAACTTAGTTCTACAAACAATCAGAAATAGGATAGAAAATATTACGGACATGTGTTTTAATTAAAAGAGATTAATAAGTAAAATAATGAAGATTAAATTATTGTAAAGCGTCTTTTGCTTCTATCCACCTTGGACATTATTTATTGAACAGCTTCGTATCTCGTAAAATCTTAATTTTGCTATTTAATGATGTGAATTCAATTACTTAACAAATATAGTAAAATCGTGATATTCTTGTTTGATTCTGGATTTTAACTTCAATAAATGAAACAAAATAATCTCCAGAAGACATGTGATTCCCTTATGAATGACCTTAACAATTTGTTAGCCCTTTCCCCATATGCTAAGTATTTGTACGGCGTATGACTTAATGTAATTTGTTTCATTCTGTTTTCGGGTTTTTTTTTTCAGAATTACATAAAATACTTGTATTAAGATATATTGCTGGAAGAAAAATTGAATGGATTTTGCACCGAAACTTATTTCTTTAATATCAATAAAAATTTCGCTTCGAAAAATAATAATTCAAACTAGTAATATACATGTACCTAGCCAAAACTCATTTGACAGATTTCCGAATCCAGTTTTGTAGTCATTCCAGGTCCTGAAGAAATCTTCAGATCCATCCTGTCTCCTTTGAATAACCTTGAAAAAAAATATATTGAATATAAAATTATCACACTTATTAGGCTATATAAAGTTGATTGTTTTGTTTTCAGGCCCGGGTGTATCCATTTTGAAATATCCGCATTATTAATTGTATTATTTTTCGATTTCCAATATTTTTCTTTGTGATAACTCTTTGAAAGTTAGCAGAGTTGATTTTTTGATAATACTACCAGAATGTAAATTAGGCCGGTCGATAGGTCAATACTAAGGAAGCAAAATACGCATGCAAATCTCGTGCACATCTGCCTCTGTTTCAACGCTGAGGAGCCCAAATATGCATGCAAATCTCGAGAGGCTGTTTTTGTTTTTGATGTCACTGGACGAAGGCTTTTGAAATTGCCTGTTATGTAAATTATTCCATGATTCCCACAATCGTTGATGCCCAGGCATCCTCTAGTCACTAGACAGTGATTCCTAAAGTATTCTTGATAAAATAAAAAAGTTGGTATTGCGGATACCTATCTAGAAAAAAAAAACAGCTAATGTAGAATTTAAAAGAATAAAACGGCCTGATAGGTGTAGATCAGTTTACTGTTTAAGGTTGTTGCTAAAGACTGTAAGTTTTTTTAAATAAGCTCTACTTGTCTATTGCATAAAGATAAAAGAGTGTCTCACGCAAAAAACGTATACAACCATTATGGTATCTTCTGGCTTCTATTACAATATAATAGCGAAATGTTCCTTGATTAAAAGCTAACCGAACAATAAAAACCCGGAGTTTGATAATTTCTTTGAGTAATATAGTTCAAAAACATCTATTTTGCCTAAAAGTGCTTCCACAATCCCACTGTCCTCTCATGATCAGTAAAATAAATTTTTCACTCTATTCGAACGAATCTTACCCGAATTTTTTAATTTCGTTCTAATGAACCGAGAATTTTTGTAAAACTTTGATTAAACTGGGATTCTAGCAGCACTTTCCAAGTATTTTAAAAGACAAACTTTCCATCTGCACAATCCTATGTTTTGAAATATCCAACTCATTGTTCCTCTATTGTATTATTTTTGTCACGAATGACAGAGGAAAGGCTGAACAAGAAACTTAAATAGCTGACTGTCTTCGAAATAGAATAATGATATTCAATTAAAATAAATAAGCATACCTGTAAAATAAAAAAAAACTCCCTATGAAGTTCACATGATATTCACGATATTTGCCTTGAAACTATATTGAACGTATCTTTGTAAGCATAGCAAAATAAAAAAAAACATTTTACATGTTTCTATTCATTTTCTAGTGTTAATTCACCTATTAATGTCTTCATAATGTATCAGTGATTTAGTCATGGTTGAATTTTCTGTATGCTTCCTTATTACCCCTGTGTATGAAAGTCCATAGAAGAATACATTGACTTAATTGAATATCACTTAAATTTGAAAGGAAAAATCAATTTGAGTGAAGTTATTATTAGATTTCTGATACAACACATTAAAAGTAGATAATTGTGTATGTTGTCGATTTCAATTTGATGTAAATAGGTAAATACCGTCCATCCACCCCCGTCTGTCTCCTGATCACAGTAAACCTGAAACCAAGTTCCATTATTCGGGTAAATTGTGTACACCTTACTCTCTCTGTAACCTCTCAGCAACAGGTCTTGACAGTCTTTTGGAATAAACGTATTACATGTGTCTGTCCAAAGAAAATTTCACTCATTGCAAAATATTCATGTTGCAACTCTGTATGAACGTGTACAAATAACTTCACTGAATATCTAAGAGAAACCAAAATAGCATTAAAAGAATTACAACGTACCTAACGTAATTTCCTTTTTATATCAATTTTAAGTCTATATTTTAAAAAATTAGACACGATGTCTGAAAGCAAATAGTCATGATTGATGCCTTTTTGTATTTCCATTTTTTGTAATTTGGAATATATACGTCCAGTATTTAACTTATGCAAAATATTGACAAGAACAATAATTGAACTGAAGGTGGTTCTGGTCAGATTTACAAGATTGTATCAAAAACAATACTTAATATAAGATCAGATCAATTTCAAATAAAAGGAAAATTAAAGATCAATTATTTTTTTTTACCTTTTCCACAACTTTGTAATAATTCATGCATTGCTGTCAGTTTCGTGTTTATTTTACTGATATCCTCTTTTGTTGCCCATCCTGTCTTATAATCAGTTATCTCTCCTCCTGATTTAAGTGTGTCATTGCAAATAGCGTCCTTCAATTTTGTAATAGTCGTTTCTGTTACGCATTGATCAATTGGTTCAGGTAAAATTGCACTTGCAGCTGGTACCAATAGGAGTATAAATAGCATGCTATTCATTTTAATGCCGATCCTCTGTTGTTATCTAGAACAAAGTTAAAATTTAAATCACTCAGCGGAATCTTTCTCAGTGGATAACATGCTAAAATATGTACAATATATAAGCTCATATATATATATATATATATATATATATATATATATATATATATATATATATATATATATATATATATATATATATATATATATATATATATATATATATATATATATATACGACAGTTCTATAGAAAAAAAATATCGACCTCTGCTAGATCTTTTGTGATTAAATGGGTAAATAAGAACATCAGAACTTAACTGATCTGGAAGCTACGAATTTCGTGAAATGATTTTCGAATCCTTGCACTTTTACAAAGTAGTTTTTATCTTTAATATAAAAAAGAAATATGTCGTGGCTTACTATAAATATGTTTATCTATAATCAAGAACATTCAGAGCAGAGATTTGAAAAATAAAACCGCATTCCCCAGTAGTTTTACAATTTAAATATATGGAGATAATATACAGTACCCGAGCTCAAAAGTTTATTTATCAATACAAAAAAGAAAAAGAGACATTGTCCTTTGAAAGATCAGAGAATGTGTCCGGTATCGTGGAGGAGTGAGCATCCCCTGCACATCGGTCACACGAGTTTCGAATAAGACATGAGTGCCCTTCAATATTATAGAAAGAAGTTTAGTATATGTTTTAATATCTAGAACCCGATAAAAAGTAAATTATAAAAAGCACATGTACAATGTCACTATGCAACAACGACTATGTAAAAGTTTCATTTAATTTCATTTAGGAGTATAATAGACAATAAGATAATAAGATATGGGTACCCAAACCGTAACAGACGGAGAGGTACAGACAGACGAACAGCCAGATGAAAGGACGTACGTCCATCCCGATCACTGCATACTCTCAAACTTTTCAAAATGGGCATAATTAATTCTTTTCTTAAGGTATCTCACTCGTCATCTTTTAGGAAATAATCAAGCAAGATTTTTCACTTCAAAACTTTTTATTGTAATTCAATTTTTATAAAATACTTAAATTAAGCAATGTAAACTGTACAATATTTAATGAAAATAAACTGTGCAAAAATTAACGAAGAAGTAGGATTTGTGGGGGATTAACTTCTTGTGGTGGAAGGATATTATGCTAAATTTCTACAGATCTGCACAATTTGATGTTTAACCTGAGTTGTATATGCTTTTTTCGGAGATTATTTATTTTCTGTTATGATGTGCTAGGAATATTAAACAGGTCTCATTTTATATTCTTATTCTCTCACGTTTATTATAAAAAAAATTGCAGAGAAATGAAAATGATTTAAGATGTCAAGATAATATTCACATCTTTCTTGCCTGAAAAGTTTGACCAATAATTCAAAATTAACATCACTGGCCCCAACTCTTTCCCCTTATTTCAAACTATTCAATACTTGTGACTGATCAGCGCGAGTTGTAAAAGTTTTGATACTACAAAATATTATATTGCCTGTATAGATTTTTAGTTCCCCAAACACTTTGTATGTTTCTAGATCTGCTTTAATGAAATTAAAAGCGTCACACAATTATTTACGCGTTTTGATTTGCAAGATTTGTTAAAAAATAAATATTATTCAAACTATTTCATGTAAATTATGATTACATTTATTGCCATAGTTACATCTGATAAAATATAATAAACATGAAAGTAGTTCACCGAGGAATTAAAATTTAAGTGCAAAAAGGTCAGCTTAATTGTAACGTAGCTCAGTAAGATGCACACCCCCCCCCCCATTTATTTTCTGCGATTTTGATTCATGGTATTGAGTAATTATTCAAAAAACGCTTCTTAAAAAATCCTTAAGCAAAATTAACAAGTGACTAACCTTAAGAATTGAGGATAAATTTTACTTTTTGAAAGTGCAAGAATGTGTCAATCAAATGAGTTCTGGATTTGTAGTTTCAATAATTTTCAGATAAAATTAATTTATATTGTATCTTTGTATGAAATGCTTTAGGAAGAGTTTAGAAATGATAGTATATTAAAAAAATGAGATATTATAAACTTCAATTCTGTGTCTAACCCCATTTAAAATATGGACTGTCATTTGTGTCTTATCCCAAGGTATTTAAAAAAAACAGATTCTGGAATTGATATCTTAAATTAAAAAACTATATATTTGTTTAAATAAAGAATTATCATGAGCTAAATAATTCCAATGTTAAGCATAATTTGCAAAAACTCGAATAAAAAAATCATTTGGTGATATGATCGTATAACTGCAGGAATTAAATCTAGAATTGAAATGGAGATTGTTCACTTACCTTTGATATGTAAAGCTTATAAACTGTTACAAGTACATATACGATAAAATAACGTAAAATACATAAGGAACACTTCCTTTATTTCCTCTCGCCAAAATCATCGTGACGTGGAAAGATTTTAAATGTGCAGCATACTTTTGCACAGATGGTGCAATATAATGTTTATTTCTAAAGATCGTGTCTAATCATTTACTACGTCTCAGAGCCTCTGGTGGATCGTGCCAAAACTTCACGCTTTGACGGATAATTCCACACCAAATACCCCTGCAACATGTTTACCTATTTATCGAATGTTTCAATCCCAACTCAAACATTGGACTTCCTGTTCACCTAGCTAGACTTTGTTTCATGATCAAATTTTAAACAGGCAAAGCGTATTGAATATAATTTATTTCTGGTTGATTTGAAATTTTTGCAAATAAAAAGATATGTGGGATGAAGAGAAAATAATACGAGGGTTGTCCAAAAAGTTCGTGGACAATGACGTTTCTGTGAAAATAAATGGTTCTGTATTAAATCTGTTGTATATCAAAATATTTCTTATGAAAAAACAAGTCAGAATGATGAAGTTTTTATTGATGGAACGTAATATTTTTGTAAAAATTGGGGTCTTTAGAGGTCGCGGAAAGTGCGCACGGACCAAGGTTAAAATGATGTAAACTCTGATATAAAGAGTTCGACTTAAAATGATTATTTTCTATATAAAACACGTAAAAAATTAATAAAAAATTTATGTAACACAAATAAAGAGGTTATTATCATTTTAGGATAACTGAAATATCGCTTACTATATAGACAACGAAAATACACAAAAAAAACCTTAACAAAAAACGTGTCAAAACTCAGCAGAAGAAGTGACGTCGTCCGTCGGCACGGGGCAGCGTCCGGTCAAAAACTTAAGATTTATAACGGTTGAAACGATGTAAGATACACAATATTTGTTAAAACGACATAAAATTATTGAATTATTTTGAATGTATCGATTTGGGATTTGTATATACGATTTTTCAACAGTGTGTACAAATTCGAAGACACTACAAGAATTTAAAAACACATGTAATTAACTGTAAATGGAGATTTCTATTCATGACGTTGTTATAAATCTAGCGCAGTGTCGGACTGGGCTGTTCAGTTTGGGTATACAAAGTGTTAATTTAAATGACGCTCGTAAATTTGTGTGCACTGTTTTGAATTTTCAAAATTAAATAATTATAATCTATACTTTAAGATTATTGCTAGCACTTCGAAGTGCGTTGCGCCTTAAAAAAGAAATGTAGTGTGTGTCCATCAACATGTGTTAAGTCAAAATCCAAATGTTTGACGTTATAATTAAATTAGCGTAACGTCAGACTGGTCCGTGAGCTCAATCTGCGATCTTTGAAGACCCCGATTTTTACAAAAATATTAAGTTTCATCAATAAAAATTAAATAATTCTTACTTATTTTTTCATGAGAAATATTTCGATATACAAAAGATGCATATAGAACCATTTATTTTAACAAAAACGTCATTGGACAAACTTTTGGACAACCCTCGTGCAAATATAAGGAACTTACGTAACATAGTTTCTGTAACACCTAAACTTATCTCAGTATCATTGTAACTTGATCTTGAGGAAAAAACGACCTTTTTCAAAGAATAATTTAACAATATCAAATCTTCTTGGTTTTACCTTTATAATTGTGTATTTTGTTTCGAATAAAAAAAAACTTTTTACGACTGATATGATATTGAAAATTAATTCCTATATTCCTTAATATTTACATACATGAGTTAATCTCTGGTGATGTTCTTTATATTTAAAGCAAGCTACTTGATTCCCAGTACATTGTATGTTGAGATAAAACTTTCCTTTATCACTCAATGGCTTGGAATTAATCAATTCTTTGTGAAAAACCATTCGTGTTTTTTAAAACCATTTTATTTCTTTTGTTTCTCTCTATGATACTTGTCAATGACGATAGGGATTTTTCTTTGTTTCTACATGAAAAGAAAACGTTAAAGGAGCGGTACCTTTTGATCCGAAGACCAATGATCTTATTTAATTGGATATACACTTGAAGCAGACATGTAGACATATTGCAAACCTGAACACAAATCAAATTTTACATGAGCTTTCTTTTTTGCTCAAATGTATACGAGCCACCTTAGAAATCAATCCACTTATAATTAATTTATACAGGGAAATTTTCGCCCCTTTCGCCCTGTACTATTTTGAGCGAATTAAAAACGGGGCGAATATTAATTACACAGCATAGTTTCTTAAAAAGAACTGTGACTTTGCGAATATAAAACTGGGCAAAATTGTTTGCAAATGTAAAAAGGTGAAAAAAAACATGTATACAGTAGCTAACTGAATTTAACAATACAAATTTTATTTTGATTTTCTTGTCTTATTATTTATAGATTATTCATTTTTCATTTTCAGTTACGAACATTTCTTTTGTATACCCTACAACAAAAGGACAGTCAAACTAGAGCTCTATCTTTACAACTTAAGGGTCCTTCAAACCATGTGACTTGTGACGTATATAGAAAAAAAATACTTTTACTTCCGGTTTTTTTGAGAATATACATAAACGATTTGTCCTACCACCATTTGTACACAATGAACACACGGCAGGATCACGGAGTGACCGATAAAAAGGATATGTTTTTTTTTTTTTTTTTTTTTTTTTTTTTGAAATAAAAGAACAACAGACGTCTTGGATTATGTTAGTAAACATAATAATTCGTAAACAACAGGTACTGGTGGGTATGACGAGAAACGTTTAGGTTATTTTATTCCCTTTAGAGAAGTGGACAGGCTATCGCCTACATCCGTGGATGTAGGCGATAGCCTGTCCGCTTCTCTAAAGAGAATCAGGTTATTTATACTTTCAGGCTAATCAACCGAGTCTGTTTTTGATAGTTGAAATTTCGGCACACTAATTTATGTGTTACAATTATACATTATATCATTGTGTGTTTATAAATATTGATAAAAAAAGTGTGTGTTTCTAGTTTTCCTCTTTCATATTTAACCAGTTCAGTGGCCAGTAAATTACTTAATGTAGTATAGTGACGTATGCGGAGACTTGCAAAAGTTTTTGAGTCCCGGGCAACAGGAAAGATAACTCCAAAAAGGAACTTTGATGCCAAAGATTTTTAAAATGTTTTTTTTCTACATCAGTGGATTTAATTTTAATTCAATGTTTTGGATGTAATCTAACTCATTAATGTTTCTTCTCTACAAAAATAGCCCTTATTGATTTTTCTCGAGATTTATTTTAGAGAAAACGAGTTTTATGTTCTTTTTATAAATAAATAAATTTCTTTAAAAAATGTGTTGATCGATCAAATTAGGTTTTATGGTTATTCTGTGAGCTTAGAAATATACGAAAGGGCAAGACAAAATTGTTGTGCTAGGTATAAAAACGCCTTTTGAAAAATTTCTTGAAACGTGTGAAATAATTATTTAAAGAATCAATATAAAATACATTTTAGACCCTGGTCAGTTTTTAAAGGTTAATATGCTTGTTAAAAGCAATGCTCAATAATATGAGAACATAAGCTGTGGGTGTGTGGAGGACCCTTAAAATTGTACATCACAATCACAAGTCTCACAAGTCTTGAGTTTTTGTAAAGAAATTCAAGAATTTATGGTTATCCTGTCCCCATCTAATTAGCAGCATGATATGAAAAAAATTACCAGGTTTTGCTTGTTTTTGAATTAGTTTCGTTAGTACTTTTTTTCTTTAACATCCTTCTCGAAATTTTTCACAAATATGGAGGCTCAACCACTTGCTGCCGGAGAGCTGTTTTGAGCAAATTTAGAGAATTTTGTCCTATGGTCGTCACTTACGTCCAGTTGAGCTTTCAGGATTTTTTTGTGGCAGTACGTATACTGCAACACCGAGTCACGATTTATACTGTCTCACTTGCAGGAAGAATTTCATGGCAATCCGTTATCCTCTCATAAAAGCATTGTATGAATTACGGCCACAGTAAACTGACAGACAACATACAGATCTTTCATTTTGGTTAGGAACTACGTTTACATCCTATTCCCATTGAAGCTTGATCACTCGTCACCCTGTGATGCCATTGATTAGCTGCAATAATTCCCCTCCCCCTTTTTTTATGCGGGGAAGGGGGGACAACTCCTATTTCAATTAGTTCATCCTTTAATATTCTACGTTTATCTATGTCTTTAACATTGCAATTTCATAAATTGCTTCTATAACTCTGCAAAAATGGATATCAATTTATTATATCAATCTTATACCAATAATTAATCCTCTTTGTAGATGAATTTGATTAATATAATAAAAGGTGATGTGTGCATTTCAATTCATTTCGGGGTTCCTTTGCAAAATGATTTTATAAACATAATATCAAGACAAAATAAGCATGAAAAATAAAATTATTATGTAATATTTTTATTTATGTTTTAATTAAGTGTTTGTTTTCCGTCTTCTTTTAAAGCCATCTTATTTCCTGATTTTCATGTCAGCAAACATCAGGGAATAGTGATATCCTAGCCAAGTAGACCAGTTAACACCATTAGCATACGATGTGTGTTTTCCTTTTAAGAACAGACCATTCAGATTAGCCGCATGACAAACTTTGTACCACCATCCCCTTTTGATTCTATTTGCACAAGTTTTATCATCATCCCTATCCTTTGTGACAAATGTTGCACCATAATGTCGAGTCGAAAAGGAGTCGCCTGAAGAAAAAATAAGCTGAAATTTGTATAGTAGGAAAGGGAATTGGCACGAAGATATATGGGTGGACTGGGAATCGAACCTGAGTCTCTGTATTACTAGTTAGATACTCTAACCACTCAGCTATCCAGATCGAGATTCATAGTCCGTACAGCCAAAATTCGTCAAAATTAACATTAACATGTAATCAGAAAAGTATAATAGCTTAAAATAATGAAGCAAAAAAATTACCAGCATCTCAACTGTAACCCGAGACGCCCAAAACATATCCCGACTCCTCATTCCCGACATTGAAGACGCTGTAGCTTGCATATCTGGAATTTCTTAAGAAATCCTTCAAATCGATTCGTAAAGTATAATTTCCTGAATTTGTAATTGTGTTGATTTTGTCATTCCCTGTCCAAAAAAATATGTCAGATGTTCATACAGATTGTTTTGCATCATTGAAGATATGTGTATGTCTTTCTACAAAAAAGTCAGAACAAAATTAATGATAAACACAGCGAATCTTGTGTTAGGCTTATGAATCTGTGATAAAAAAAAAAACTTGGGTTTTTGTTCTAAAGATGTATGAAATTACTGAGTAAACATAGAAATTTCATGGAATACTGATTAAATAAAACTAAATATTTAACAAACGTTTAATAAGGATTTAAATTCTAATAAAGGAAACAAATAAATTCCAGATGATACTAATCTCAACAATTCTCTTACATATCACCAACTACATTTGCTAGACCTAAAAGTATCGGCTAATATATATACTGCATAATTATACTCTAATTACTCCCATTGACCTTTCAAGATTTCACTGACTTATTTTACTATCATGACAGAAAAATTGTGGTGGTCTTGAAATGTTTCCCAATTAAAGTAAGTGAATTATTTTTAATTGAAATAATACGTCTTTGCCTTAATGAAAACGTTTGCTTCAAGTCAACTACCACTAGTACATGTGTGTTTACATACCTAACCAAAATTCATTTGATATATTCCCGAACCCATTCTTGTACTCATTCCAGGTTCTGAAGAAATCCTCAGATCCGTCCTGTCTCCTTTGTATAACCTGTTAATGGTAAAATTTATTTAATACACTTATTACTTATAATATAGAAAAATTAATCTTGAAAAAAATAAATGTTACTCAAGAGAACACATGGCTAGAAGTATCTACTAGAATATGACCAAAATTACTATCATGCAACAACTTAAAATTAGGAAATTGTGTTTGTTGTCAATTTCAATTATATGTCACGTGATAATTACCGTCCATCCCCCACCATCTGTCTCCTGATCACAGAAAACCTCGAATCTTGATCCGTTGTTTGGAGAAATTGTGTACACCTTACATTCTGTATGGCCTTGTAGCAACAGGTCTTGACAGCCTTGTGGATATGACGTATTACATGTGGCTATCAAAAAAAAAATGATGAAAACATTTCTGATTTTTCAATTACCAGTAATACAAGTGAATGCCTAGAAATGCCATCGGAAAAAATGTATAAATTACAATAGCAGTCAAAAATTTATTGCTGTGTATTTTAGGTTATTCAAACTGGAAATAAACTCAAACTCGGAATAAACTTTTTACAGACCTGTTCTTTTCATCGAAAATCTTCATATGAAACATTATTATCATAATTATTATTGAAGAACTATATATGTTATGGTACGAAATATTTAGCTGAAAAATTTAGTAGGAAAAAAACTTTAATCAACATATTATGCAAAAATTCATTGACATGTTTTTATTTGTTTTTTATTTGTTTGACCAATGAAAGCAACCCACTTTGAGGGGATTTCCTTCCATACATTCGGCATTTCTTAAGTATAATTTCATTCTTACATTTAGCATAAGTTCATATTTTTAAAGATCAAGTACATGTACAATGTCTAAGAAATAATTTAGTTAGAGCTCATTATGATCAGATTTGCAAAATTGTAACTAGGGCAACACTTTATTTGTTAAGAACTGATTCTAAAATAAAAAGAAAATTAAAGACTTAATTCATTTTTACCTTTACCGCAACATTGACAACTTTGAATTGAGTCTAGCATTGCTGTCAGTTTCATGTTCATTTTATTGATATCCTCCTTCAATGTTTCACTTTTTTTGTAGATAGCTTCCTGCACTTTTACAATATTTGAGGCAAAATTGAAAAGTGTTTGAATTGAGGTCTTTTCTGTCGCACATTGATCTTTAGGTTCTAGTAAAATTGCACTTGTAGTTGGTACCAGTAAAAGTACAATAATACGATCTTCATTTTAGTGCAAATCGTCTGTTAATAACATCAAAAGCAAACTGAAAATCAGTATGTAAAATCAGAATGTCAAATTTACAACGGTCAGTAATATATATACAAAATAATTATAAATATAAAAACTATAACAGAGATAAATTGCAATAAAAATCAGCCTCTACCAGATCGCTTGTTGTAATATTTTAGTAAAAAATGCAAGCAAAATAAAAGGAAATCAATTGATTGTTTAAGTCAATAGTTTAAAATTCCACGAAATCAGTTGACACTTTGATTGTATAACATCATCATTGAAATAAAATCAACAGCTATAATTGAAAGCTCTCCACTTACCTTTCCTATAAAAAGCTTGTAAACTGTGAAGAGTAAGATATACTGTATATTAAAGTGTAGCACATGTGGTAAGTTGGTTTTATTTCCTCTCGCCCCACACATCGTGACGTCGTTCAATTAAAATTTGCAGCAAATTTGTTGCACAGATGGTGAAAAATCTTATTTGATTTTTTAAATCGTGTTTGATTCCTTACTCCGCCACAAAGCCTCTGGTGGATCATGTCAGATCTTCTACTCCTGAGCTATTTAAATCAGATATTTTGACAGATGATCTCACACTTGTTAATCTGGTAACATGTTTTCTCTGTTTATGGGGGGTCTCAATCCGGAATCAAACCTTAGTCTTTCGGTTCACCTTGCTAGTGTTCTCACTATATAGCTACTTAGCCATTGTGATATATGGAGTGATATTTAGACGTTAAGCCAGCGATGTTTGTATACTTGCAGAGTTAACGTTTCACGGTTCTGCTGTTCAATAAAAAACAAGTTTTGCATGTCGTCGGGTTTATAATTCAAGGATGTTTAGATTGAAGGTGAATGCGCAATTCAATAGTACGAAAATAAAAACAAATTATATTCCTCCTTTGCTTGTAACAAATCTACCCGTTGTTTGATTCTGGAGTTGTGTTTTAGTTCATTACCAAAAGACATATATGTCTGGTTTCTTCTTCGGATGTCTTACATGTACCTCTGTCTGATATTAAATTCCTCAGCTATGATAACAAACAGAGGTGCTACTTTGTAAAATTTTGGGGGTATAACATGTTTCTAATATTATCTTGTAGTGATGCAAGGCAACAGAATTGAAATATCTTTAATTTGCTGTTATTGTGCTTCTTGTTTGCCTTTTTTTTATAATCGTGTTAAAGCATTCACTGCAGGAATAATGGAGTTGTTCTTTTGTAATAATTAGTTGAATCACTAGTAGGTATTGTAAATCAATTCGCTAAATATTTCTTAACATAACTATTAAATACTAGTATTCTACATGTACTCTCCATTAAAACTTGATTAATGTCAATTTAACTCTTACGAATATGTATTCTTAATTATGTTAATCTAGATTGTATTTCTATGTCATTATTTTCTTTCATGTGTTTATTATATTTCTTTAATATTTAAAAAAAAATATTGAGGTTTCGTTCTTCGGCAATTTAGGCAAAATACATTTGCGTGGCATATTGGTTAGAGAGACTGGGGTAAAGAGCTGATCCTTTCCTCACGGGGTGAAATCCTACTGCGGGACTTTGAGATCAGTCAGGATAAGACCGTATACTATAAACCGCGCAGTACAGTGAATGTGCACAATAGAAACATTGACAATTTTTGTTATTCAAAATGTATTCATCATCAGGATGGTGATTTTTACTACGTCATTAAAATAGGATAATTCAAATTATGTTAAATAACTACATATTGAGGAGGATTGGAATTTATATTTATATTTATCACATGATGCTGCAGTCATGTGATTTATGCAAAATTACTTGCAGTTTCAGATCACCTATGAATATCACTAGTACAAGGGATGACCAAGTTAAAATTCTAAGTTAAAGTTTATAACTATTTTCAACACGCATTGTAGTTCCTGAAAAATGATGAGATCCTATTTAGATTGTGCAACTTTATTGTTAAAATCATTTTTGTATGATCAAATGCTGTTTTTTGTTCTGGTCAACGGCATGAAATATTGAGGTAATAAATATATTTTTTAAGATTTCATTAGTATTGCAACACTTTTCAGATACCTTAGTTCATCTAGAGTTGAGATGTAAAAGCTTCATATGATAAATTGAGTTTATGCCTTAATTTGCAGTTCGATTTATTGCATGTAAGACCCTCACCAATCCTCCGATATATTTTCATACGAAAATACTGCAGAATCAATTACATACGATGAATTGTACAGAAAGTGTCTTTTCTATAACTTGTTATGTTTGATTTGACTAACGACAAAACAGCAGGCTGTAGTAAGGTTTTATGTACTTTGATGGTTTTCTACCGGTAAAAATAGCAAAAGCACCTAATTCTGTTGTATTTAAAAGAATTGTTGGTTTTCTATGATGCCATAATTTATTTTCCTGTACAAATTAGCCATCGCCCCCTACCTGTAACCTTAACTGTGATGCGCAAAGTCCAGTGTCGAAAAACTGCTGAATTAAACTAGATACTACGGTTCATCTTATCCGAAAGGCATGGAAGCGATAGATGAAAGTGTCAAGTATAGGTCAGAAATTGTATCCCCTAACCAGCAAGTTTCCTTATGAGTGAAAAAATTCCGAGAGGGACAACAAACAATCAATCAATGAATTAATGCAAAAAAAAACTTTATTACAAGGTTGCATCCAAAACTAATGTTACAACTTCGATAAAGTTATACTAGTCATCTTCATTCATCAACATTATACATGAACAAAGGAGTCCTGAAATTTTCAAATAAAAATGATTTTTATACTTTTCAAAATATCGAATTTTCGGCCCTGTCTTATTTTCGCCCCTTTCGCCCTCTTCCTAATAAGGCGAAATCAAAACTGTGTAAATTCAATTTACACAGTATTATTTCTTTAAACAAAACTATGACTAAGCGAATTTAAAATGGGGCAAAATAGTTCGCGTATGCAAAAGGGCGAAAATAACACGGGGCGAAAATAACCCTGTATACAGTATATACAAAATGCGATTAAGGCAATCGACGCACCTAAATAACGTCATATGACGGATGCGCGCCGATATCTCGAGAGTATTTGAACTTTGCAATGACATTAAACAGAACATCTCCCCATAGATGTAGATTAAAATAAGACCACTATTTCTATTCAGATCAAAACGCAAATGCCAAGGTCGTAAATTTGTACATTCTTTTTATGTGTCAACATTCATTTCCGGGCAATATCACAAAAAGCTTTTGAGCTTTTCTATTGAAATTTCCTACCAGATCTCACATAGCCCACCTTGAAGTATCAAGACACCTCCCCCCCCCCCCCCCCCCCAACGCCCCTTTGACACCTGTAGATTTGCACACACAACCTCCTTTTTTCCTTAATCTAGTTTCAAAATAGTGTACTCCTATTTTTTTTTAGGATGCTGCATGTACACTCTGACTACAATTAGCTTTTTTATTTCGAATATCCCAAAATGCAAAATGGTGTCAAATGCATGCAAATATGGCATTTTCCCTATATTTTGAATAAAAGTCAGTTAAAAATCGGTAAGAGGATCATAGTGAATTTGTCTTGAATGTGTACATGCTATATACCCTTTTGAAAATACAATGTGTTCTTCACATGGATATTTGAATGTTAAATAACGATTAACATATCTCTCGGAAATGTTCGCGTATCTTTTAAAATATAAAAGATACAAGTACAAAGGAAATATAGGGATCAATCGTATCAATTTAGTAATTAGAACAGATCGATAAAAGGCCAGAAAGGAGCCAATGTATACACCAGAAAATGCGGGATTAGGAACCCCGGGGGAAAAACATCTCTTGTCGGCTTGCAATACCAATATAAGCCTATTTACTGACCAGGTATATCTAGTACTTCTCAGTCAAATCTAGTAGACAAACTATCTCCTTACAAAACCTTAAGTTAACACATGTCAAACAAAATATAACCTTGGCCAGATTGCACTAGCAAGAAAAGACATCATAATGACTGTAAAACTGGCAAACTGTTTGCTTTATAAAAATGTTTGTAACATCAACGTATTTGTTAGGAGCTAACCCAGTTGATTAAAAAATTAAACATACTCCGGTTCTAAGAAAAAAAACTAGGAACATTATTTATTTGAAATTTCATTTCAGTACTATTTGAGAAAAAAAAACATTTGATTGTGAACTGAAGTTCATCACTGAATTAAGACATTTCACTTTTATAGATTATCATTTAGCAAAAAAATAAAAGAAAAAAAAAACAGTCACAACATATGATATTATCCTATTTTGTTTTGATGTGCCATCTTTTTGCTAACTTTTTCATATGATGTTTTGATTGTCTTGTCTTACAGATACTTTTTCTAGTCAGTTTTGGGTTATCAGACATTATCATATTTTACGTAACTGCTAATCAAAGCTTGTGAATCTGATCCCCTTCTTGTTTGTTAAATTGCTCACATTTATACCGTCATTTTAATAAATGACATTATTCATCTCTATGAAAGTGTTCTATTTGACTTATACAAAATTAGCAAAAACAAGCCGCGGTGAGCTTGCCTATGAGCATAAGAATACATAAATGATATTATCGGATTGAAACGTGATTCATGGATTCAAGACAACACGTGACTGGTGGGTACAAGTCTATGTTTATCAGGTGTGAAGAAATACATTTCAATATAGACGAAGGTTTGAGTTGTAATTTCGATGTTAACATCATTTACAGTTAAAGTAAAAAAATCATTTCAATTGTTTTCTTAGATTAAATAAGCGGATGTTTCAAGAACTGACATCAGATTAATCGTGTATATATCATATGTGATGGTTAGTCGTAGATTCGGTCAAGCATGCCAAAATCTACATAGTAATATCGGTAGGTTTGACACTGGGAACAATAATGACACACAGCTTAAGGCAATGAGGAAAATGCAGAACTGGGACCAGTTGGAAAGGTGAAACTTTTAAGATATTCTGTAAGTAATTCATGGAATCATTTTATGCTTTTGGACGATACAACGTTCAAATCTTAAAAATGATTGAATAAACATATTTTCGAGAAAAAACAGGCATAGAAACAAATGAATTATTACATATTTTATTTATATATTTAAACTATTTCTGGTAAGATTGTATGCCTTTAGTATGTTTTGATTTAATTTCCTTTACTTTCTGATTTTCATGTCAGCAAACATCAGGGAATAGTGATAACCTAGCCAGTTACGCCAGTTAACACCATTAGCGTACGATGAATGATTTCCTCGTAGGTAGAGACCGTTGAGATTAGCGTAATGACAAGCTCTGTACCACCACCCTCCTCTAAATCTATGTGCACAAGTCTTATCATCATCACGATCCCTTGTGACAAATTTGGCGCCATTATGTCGAGATCCAAATGCGTCGCCTGAAGATAAAGAAATCTCCATTTTAGAAATATCAAAATGTAATAAGAAAAAGATAAGTTTAAAAAGATGACACAAATAACTTACCAGCGTTTCCACTGTAACCCGAAACCTTTAAAAGATATCCAGAATCTTCATTTCCAACATTAAAGGTGTTGTATGTTGCATATCGAGAATTTCCTGAAAAATCCTTCAAGTCGATTCGTAAAGTGTATTGTCCTGAATTTGTAAGTGTGTGGATTTTGTCATTTCCTGTCAAATAATATTTTATGTCGTTGTTATTAAAGATTTTTCTTTTTGGCATTTTTAGAAATAAATATGTGGATTTCTACAAGAAATTCAGAACAAAATTATAATAAAAACCTTTAGTAAGGCTTATCAATGTATAATGAAAATCAAGATAATAAAACCTTGGTCTCATTCTTTAAGATGAATGAAATTAGAGAGGAAATATAGGAAAACTATGCAATGCCTACTTGAATTTTACTCATTAAAAGAAAACAATGTTAAATTAGGATTAAAATTCTAAGAAAGGTAACAAAATAAACTCCACTTTGCACATTCCATCAATCCCTCTTATTCTCTTCTTAATTACTAATTACATGTTTTATACCATTTTCCTAGATGATACGTAAATAATGCATAATTATACTTTATTTTTATTGACCTTTTCGTGTTTGCCGACATTTATTTTACTAATGACAGAAAAAAAGAAACGTATGGTATTTAAACCAAATGAAAAGTTAGAACTTGTTTGAAATATTACGTCTTTACTCTATCCCCAATTTTTTCTCGTAGTAAAATGAGTGACACCTAGTACACGAGTGCATACATACCAAGCCAAAATTCATTTGATAAGTTTCCGAACCCGTTCTTGTACTCATTCCAGGTTCTGAAGAAATCCTCCGATCCGTCCTGTCTCCTTTGTATTACCTAGAGTAAAAGTTATTCAATACACAAACTACTTATAAGGATGGTTAAATCAATCATTTTAAATAAAAGTTTTAATTTTCAGCCCCATTACACATTCTGTAATTTTTTCCTAGAACATCACATAAAATTATTATCATGCAACAACTTAGAAGTGGAAAATTGTAAATGTTGTCAATTTCAATTTGATGTCACGTGGTCAGTACCGTCCATCCGCCCCCAGCTGTCTCTTGATCACAGTAGACCTGGAATCCAGTTCCTTTATTTGGGTAAATGGTATACACCTTACTCTCTCTGTAACCTCTCATTAACAGGTCTTCACAGTCTTGTGGGTATAACGTATGGCAGGCGTCTGTCAAACAGGAAAAACAATGATTACAAGTAAGTGAATGTTTAAGAGAACCACTGAAAAATAATAGATTACAGTAGAAGTCAGAAAAGTCTTCTCTTTTTTATATTTGAAAATCATGCAACTTTGAAATAAACATTTGGTGACCGTGTTTTATTTTTTTTTTTTTAGCAAATCCACATATGAAATATTATCATTTATGAACAATATTTGTGATTATACAAGCTGGGAAAATGTTTGCTAACAAAAAGAATTCAAAAACATATTTAGATAAAAATCATAAACATGTTTTTATTGCTCGAAACATGACATCAACGAGCTTTTTTAAGAAAATCCTTCTAATGTGTTCGTTATTTTTTTTTTAAATAATTTCATTTTATATCAACTGTAAGTTTATACTTTCAAAAGATCACATACGATATGTCAGTGTTATATCTTTGTTTGAAAAATGAAAACTTTTTTTTAAGGTTTTCTATACGATATCTTTGGCATTTTGAAACATAAATTTCATTTTTTTTATCAACCCTAAGTTTATATTTTAAAGAACATAAAATGTCTAAAGTCGAATATTAGGTCAAGTATAATTATGAACATTTATGCAAAATTTTAACTTAAATAATAATGTATCTGAGGCTGGTTATGTACAGATTTGCAAATTCATATACAAGGCAACATTTAATTTGATATCAAAACTGATTTTTTAAAATTAATAGAAAAAGACTAGCAACTTTATTTTTACCTTTCCCACAACTTTGTAGTAATCCAAGTATTGTTGCCAGTTGCGTGTTTATTTTTCTGATATCCTCTTTTGTTGCCAATCCTGTGTTATAATCAGAAATCTGTCCCCCTGATTTCAGTGTTTCATTGCTATTGCAGATAGCATCCTTCACTTTTACAATATTTGAGGCAAAATTAAGAAGCGTATGGAATGAGGTCGTCTCTGTTACGCATTGATCTATTGGGTCGGGTAAAATCGCACTCGTAGCTGGTACCAAAAATAGTACAAATAGTATGGTGTTCATTTTAGTTTAAGTCGTCTGTTAATTAGAGAAAAAGTAGAATTAAAAACAGTAGATTAAATCTCAACCAATAATGTTCAGAATTATATATAAAATATTTTAGCTCTTTTATATAAATATGACTGTTGAACAGAGATAATTCACAGTAAAATATTGCCTCTGCTAGACCATAACTACATGTAATCATTTGTCTGATAAAAATTCAGTAAAATATGATCTTTACAAGGCCATAAGTACATGTAATCATTTGTCTGATCAAAATTCAGTAAAATATGATCTCTGTTAGACCATAAGTAAATGCGATCATTTGTCTGATCAAAATTCAGTAAAATATTATCTCTGCTAGACCATAAGTACATGTAATAATTTGTCTCATCAAAATTTAAATTTAAGGAATCAGGTGAAAATATGACAGTAAAACCGGGGGAATAAAATCAACAATCAAAATCTTCATTTTCACCTACCTTCTTATGGAAAGTTGTAAACTGTCAATAGTTCCAAGATATCTTAAAATAAAATATGGAAGGCGCGCTTCTTTTATTTTCTCTCGCTCAAATCATCGTGACTTTGTAAGATTTGAATTTGATTTGCAAAATTCTTGCACAGATGGTGCAATATCATATTTATTTCTAAAATCATGTCTTATCCTTTATTCCGACTCAAGGCCCCTGGTGATTCATGCCAAAACTTCAACCTCTGAGCTGTTTAATACAAGATGTATCGGCTGATATTCACCCATCAATCAACCTGGTGACATTATTTTTACCTTTGTAAAAGGTCTCAACCTGGAGTCAAACCTTGAACCTCAAGTTCCTTTTATGCTTGCTAATAATCTCATCATGCATTAATTGCAAATTTTAACTCTTCACATTTTTCTATCATTATAGTTTTTCATGCACAAAACTTTGAGTATAATGATTGACGTTTTCCTGAAAATTTGCTCAAAGGAAAAAACAATGTTATGTTAATTATGTTGTAGAACCGAGAAAATCAAAAAGTAATCAATATAAAAACATCGTCTAAGAAATCGCAATTTCACTACAAAATAAAGACATTCATGTATTAAGTTGTAATATAAAATGAAGTTAATTCAATAAAATCCCAATGTAATAAAGCATCTAAGGCTGCCTTAAGGACGATGCATTGATTAATCAGCTGACATTTTTTTAAAGTTTTTGTTTCTTTTATGTAATATATACGTATATTTTTTTACAATAAAACACGCTTATAAAAAAGGACCAAGAACGGAATATTTTTGCTTCTTTGTCAGTTCCTTTGTCAGGATAATTTTATATTGTCATTAAGAAGATTACATTATATTTCAAGGACTCGAGGAAATAAAATCAATTCGCTAAAAAATGGCAATTATTGTTAGTATATTAGTTGTAAGCGTAATTTACTGTTACAGTAGTACTTTTCAAAAATTAATTTTTGATTTTCTGCAAAATCTTTTACTTGAACAGAAAAAAAAAACAATTGCAGTGACCTTAAACTCGACATTTGAATATATCGCTGACGTTTTTCTGTAAATTACCAACAATCAGTTTTATGTCTTCAAATGCTCGGCAGGCTCACCGCAGCTAGTTTTTGCTTAATTTGTTAAAGATAAACTCAAACTCATTCACAAAGATGAATAATATCATTTATTAAAATGACGATATTTAAGAAAATACTTAATACAAAAGAATGGGGATCAGACTCACAAGCTCCGATTGAAATTACGTAAAATATGAAAACTTCCTATAAAACAATAAGATCAAACATTTCAAGAAAAAAATATAACCAAAAAAAATGGCACATCAAAAGAAAAAGGGTGACACATCAAAACAAACATATCGATAATTACAAGATTGATTGATTGATTCTATGTTATTTAACGTCCCTCTCGAGAATTTTTTACTCATATGGAGACGCCACCACTTGCCGGTGGAGGGCTACAAATTTTGTTCATGCTCAGCACTCAGGGCCTTTGAGCAGTGAGGGATCTATTTCGTGCCAGCTGCTACTGCGACACGGGGCCTCTGTTTATACGGTCTCATCCGAAGGACCGGTCTCCACATCCCGCAGTGGGATTCGAACCCACGACGTAAGGATTGACTCTTTACTTCGCGACTCTAGAGCAGACGCTCTTACCACTGCGCCACGCTGGAGACGATAATTACAAGAATCCTATCTTATACAATTTATAAAATGCGAGAGTTAGGATTACAGGGGCGATGGAGGGTCTTCAAAATATACGTGATTCCAAAAATACTGTGGACAGCGCGGGAATAAAATAACAAGTGATCCGCTCAGCTGTCTACGTGATCCTAGCCCGCTAATCATTGGCTGGAATTTCACATAACATCGGCGTAACATCCCATCCTGCTATATTTATTTCTTAAATCACCACGCACATGTAAAAACAATATATAAAATACATAAACAACGCATTTAATACATAAATTTAATAATAATCATAATTGCTGTTGTTTTCTTATGTCGATGTTGTATATCCCGGTGAGCTTGAGAAAAAAGATACCATAGCCTGTGATTCCTACATTCCGTATATTGTTTAACTCTTTCGATCTTTGTAGCCGTTAATATTTTCTTTTCTAATTTTAACGTTTTGCTTGACAGTTGCAAACAGCAGATGCAAGGGAAGTCGCTTTGGCCAAACATTGAAGATACTTTTTATACATACGTCTGCAAAAAGGTCAACCATGTACAGGTAAAGGCCTTCACATTTAGACCTTTGCTCAGCACATAAGACCATTGAGCAATAAGGGTTCTTTAATTATTGTCCCATCTCTCAGCATGACCTATCATTTTACAAATTGAGAATTGAAAGACACGTTTGGTATATTTAACCATGAAATTAGAACAATCAAAGATTGCGTTTTTATTATTTTTTTTTCGTTTCCCTTGTTTCTCTAGTGTTTTTTTTAAACTAACAAGAAAAACAATTCGTTTTAACCCAAAGATTTAAAGATCGGGGATAGCTTTATTTATCAAATGAACGTTGTTTTCAGATATTTTGCTCATTACCAGAGGTAATTGAAATACCGTTTAAGTTGAAATTTTAGCGAGACTTTAGTTTGGCATTATTAGCGAGGGTGCTGCGATCGATAAAAATGAATATCGCTAAAAACTTGCGTTTTATTTGTAATAGCTTCTATAGTGAGCATTTGATGAAATCGCTAAAAATTAATTGCGTTTTATTTGTAAAAGCGTCTATAGTGACATTTTAAAAAAAAAAATCGCTAATAATGCTTCTTGCTAAAAATAAATTACCAAATTTAAAGGAAAAATCGCTTAATGTCCGTCTCGTTAAAATTTTCACTTATACGGTATATGACATATTTTTCTCAGCATTGTGAGTTTTGTGACGTAAAAATAAGTTTAAATTGTCTATTGCAACTATTGAAAATAATTGTAATTATGACAGAAAAAGATAAGAAAAATGTAAAATTCCAACTTTATTTGGTCTACAAAAATGTGAAGATATTGACACAAATTTCAGATGATGAATAATTTTTTGATGACACAAATTTCAGATGATGAATAATATCTCAATATCAGGTGTAAAAACTGTATACATGGAATTATTCGCCCCTTTCGCCCTATCCACACTTTGTAGAATTAAATCGGGACGACTTAAAAAAAATAGTATAATTTCTTTTATTTAACAAAAAAAAAAACATAAGCTAGGCGAATTTAAAACGGGACAAAATTATTTGCAAGTATGAAAGTATGAAAACGGGGCGAAAATAACCATGTTTACAGTAAATACGTAATGTATGATAATAAATCATTGACAACACAAAATAAAGGACATGTAAAGGAAAAATTTATTGTCTTGTGTGTCTATTTTTTTCACAAAATAGGCATAAAGCTCATCATCATTGTTAAATTTTCTTTACTGAATTTCCGACAATTTCTTATATTGCCCGTCTCTATTTCTGAGTCTACACTCTTGGCATTTGTTTTCCGGATTTTCATCTCAGTAAACTTCAGGGAATAGTGATATCCTGTCCAGTAATACCATTCCACGCCGTCAGCATACGATTTATGCTCTCCTCTTAAGTACAGACCATTCAAGTTAGCTCGATGGCAATTTTGATACCACCAACCACCTTTATATTGCTTTGCACAACCGTGTGCATTATCACGATCCTTTGTGGCAAATTTTGATCCTTTATGTCTAGTCATCAATGAATCTCCTGAAGAAAATTAATGATATTCGATTTAGTAGACTGTCTTAAAAAATCAAATGATGGTTGACGTTCATCTAACCTGCCTGAAAAATTATGTTTTCTTCTGTTATTATTTATATATTTTTTTTACTTTAATCGATATAGTGTAAATTGGTATTTTAACTATTTTCCTATCAACAAGCTTATACTTATTACATGGTGTATACATATATGAACATGTATGATTTCTAGGTTATAGCATGTTTCATTGATTAAATGCACATTTACGATTTTTTAGGAATCAATTAAGTGTTTTAGATTCTAGAACAAAAACCTATTGTCCTAAAACACGGAATAAAGATGTAATCATTCTTCGTAATAAGCAATTAGAAAATGTAAAGCAGTAAAATTATTTTGTACACTTATTCGTGAAGGTAGATAGAGTTTTTTTTACATGTAAGAATAGGCCACAGGAAGACAGAAGGGCATTTCAAAGACTAGTTGTAAACATAGTATAGAAAAGAAGACAATTGAATATTCTTCTCTGCAAGCTAATCAACTGATATTTTCCAAATCTGGATTTTTTCCATGACTAAAGAGAAAAGATTCAAAGAATTTTTCACTTGTTTTAATCTGTAAGATGACCTTAAGTCCCCTCCAAAGAAAACATTTGTTTGTATCATCTGTCTTTAAGGTAAAAATTAGAGGAGTAACTAGTCAGTGGATTTAATAAAATTAAATTAATTATTCTATTAATCAGTTATAAGTATTCATCATCAACTTACCAGCGTTTCCATTATAATCTACAAGGTTTAAAATATACCCAGATCGCTCATCTCCGATACTGAAAATATTGTAGGTTGCATATCTGGAATTTCCGGAGAAATCCTTCAGATCGATTCCTAACTTGTAGTTTCCCGATGATGTAATTGTATGGATTTTATCGTTACCTGTAGAAGATGGAATAGGATTTCCTTTTTATTCTCAGAAAGTGACTTAACATATAGATGTGGAGAGAGAGAGAGAGTTAAATTGTAGTGTCAAAGGAATATAAAGAATCATTTTTGAATTCTTTTGCATCGATATATGGTCTTTCTAATGAAATTGTCCATTAATATTATACCTAGCCAGAATTCATTTCCCAGACTTCCGAACCCGTTTTTGTACTCATTCCATGTCCTGAAGAAATCCTCTGATCCATCCTGTCTCCTTTGTATAACCTAGAGTAGAAACAAAAATAGATTTAGAAAAATCATTTTTCTATTAAACTCACTTATTTATCAATAATCAAAATTTTAATCATAATTGTCACTTCTTTATTTTTATCTTGTAACCATTTCTTTACTCTACTTAAAAACATGAAAATATAGATTGGGTTGACTTATCTTTGTTATTCAGCTAAATAAAGTCGAGAAAATTGAAAGATAGGCTTTTCCGATATAAAATAGAATTTTATCCTTAACTTTCATGCATCATATTAATTGAAGTAATGATAATAGTAGGAAAATGAGACTAAATGTCCTTTGCATTTAAAACATACAATAGAATGTTTATTACCATCCATCAACCCCCGTCTGTCTCCTGATCACAATAAACCTAGTATGCAAGTCCTGTCTTTGGGAAAATTGTGTACACCTTGCTTTCCCTGTATCCTTTCAGTAAGAGGTCCTGACAGTCTTCTGGATAAAACTTGTTACACGTGTCTAAAAAAAAAAAATAACGTCAGTGATTTTTATGGAAAAAAATCAGATTGAAAATTAAGTTGTTTGAATATTTCATAAGTAACTGTGTTTTAATAAAAAAAATATATACAAATTGGAAAGTCGGTTTCTTAAAAAAACAATCTACGAGGGTTGTCCCGTAAAATCGTGGACAAGTTGTCTAGTGTAAAAAATAAACATCACTGCGTTATGAAATTTTCACTATTATTTAGTACATATTTTAGTAATATACGCAACAAATTTCAGATAAATATATGCATAAATAAACAAATTATGTTATTTTATACAGTGTATTGTATCACCTTACGGCGCATGGATTATAAGTCAAAGTGCCTAAAACAGCATTACGTTTTATCTTTGCTGAAAATGAAGTTGGATGAGTCCGACTTAAATTTAGGAATTTCATTGATACACATTCTTTAGTCACCATAAACAGTCGAAGAACCAATTTGATTTATCAGTAAGTTACGGACAATATTCTCACCATCATTTAACTAAAAGAAAATCTCATATCGGCGGTCTACTGTGACAGCGTCTTTTGCCAATACATTAGGATTTTGTCCGTATGTTTTCTACTCCCCAGGGACTCGATCAAAAAAGACTTCGCTAAGAAAACTCGTATATCATTTGTATACTTAAGATATGGTGATATTTTTATAATGTTTTTTCTTCTATGGTCATTTCAAGTCTATAAAGGTGTCATTACAACATCGAATTAAAATGCATCTGCTCTCCGGTGCGCGGTAAAGTCATAAAACGTCGCCGATTTTCGTGTGTTGTGTTTACCACTTTTCCATTTCGAATGCTCGAGAAACTGCCAAGAATTAACCAAATGCCTTAAATATTTTTGTGGAATTGAATTAGGATAATTTTATCCAAATCGTATATATTTAAAACTTTTATTTTGAAGTCAAGCTTTAGTATTCTTTAATAAAACCTTGGTTTTTTGTCCGTGCGCCGTAAGACAGTACCCCGTGCACATTCAAGCAATTAAATCTTTAATTTTGCCTATATTTTATCCAAAAAAAATTCATGCACTAAAATATGATAAATAAACATTTACTGAAATTTTCAGCTTAATGCGCCCATTACTTTTCGAGAAAAACGCTTTGTCCACGATTTTACGGGACAACCCTCGTATTTAAAACATTTGTACTTCTACAATATAATTTAATGGCATATTTGTGTCACTAATGCATGACTTGTTTTATGCCTTTACCAGTTATTTTCTGAAAATCTTCAAGTCTAGATTACTCTTGTTCTTTTATTTTTGAAGACCAGATAAAATGTTTTCTATATGAAATTTGAATCCTCCTACGATGGCATGCAATTAGAAATCAAAAATTACCTTATTGCATTAGCAACTAGAAATGTCTAGTATATTATTGATTTAAATTAAAGAAAATCAGGTGAATGTATCTGTGTCTTTTATCTTGATTTTTCCTTGATACACTGCAACATTTCAGGGGATTCAAAATATCACAAAGAAATATTTGCATTACCTCTTAAACAGTTTTGGAATAAACTGTGCATTAAGACCAGTTTTTGTTCAATTTCCTTGATATCTTCTTTTGTTACGAACTTATTGCTGTGCCCTTTTCTTTGGTTTACTCCCGTCGTTATAGTTCCATTTCCATTGCAATTACCGCTCTGTTGTTGAACAACTTGCGAGGCAATAGTTTGAAGCGAATGGAATGAAGTTTTTTTCTATAAAACATTGATCAGCAGGTTCAAGTATACTCGCAGTTCCCATGGCTTCCAAAAACAGTAAAAAAAGCAAGGTGTTCATTTTAATTTTCTTTAAACTGTAAGAATAGAATGGATATTCAAAACTGAAAAGTAAAACATAATTTTAATAGATATTGCTGAATGAAATAAATACAATAGAATAATGAAATAAGAACAAAAAGGGATGATTTTAGTAAAAAAAATAACAAGGAAATGGTAATTTTTAAACGTACCTTTTCCAAGTAAAGCAAGTAAAGCTTGCAAACTGTATCAAACAAGACTCCGATGAGGTCCGAGATGAGGGATTGTTTTGTTCTCACCTTCATTCAAATGACGCTGTTTTTAGACTCATCTATCATCAATTTTCGTGTGACAGGTGGTAAAAGACATGTCGATTATTGTTTTTCAAAACCATGTGTAATACCTGACTAAAAAGCATTGCTTCTCATGGATCGTGCCATCACGTTTACCTCTTGGATATTGCAGATTAATTGATTGATATACTCAAACATATTAACCTGGTGACATATTCTTAATGTTTTGCAGAAATTCAAGTCTCGCTTTAGACTCTATGAGCAAACACCTTAGTAAAAAAAGCATTTTTTTTCTCACACTACAGATTTTATATTTGATCAAAGCAGAGACACTGGCAAGGCTCCGTATCTAGAGAAAAAAAATAATGCATATATTGTTTTTTAAATCATACAAAAGTGATTGAAAAACCAATAAAGCCTAATTTATAGGAGTAAATAAAACGCACATGTGCTTCCTTCATTTAGCTAAAATCATCTTTACAAACAAAAAAAAAAGTAATGATGAAGTCGGTGAACATTGTTTTTCCGGAGACAACCAGACAAGGATTAATTTACCTTAGCTGTGCTAGGAAGGGCAATGATTGACGGATTCTGAGAATTGCTTTTATAGGTCGTGAGAAGGAAGTTCAAGCTAGTAACAATGATAGAAAATACGTAACAAATCAATGCCAATATTTGTATGGCATCATGTTTCCAATGAAATTAACACAAATATCATAATAAAAGAAATAGACGAATAAGGTCTTAATAATAATAATAATAATAATAATAAGGAAGCTGAGGAAAATAACTTTTAAAAAGAACGATGCTTGTATATCGCATTTTTAGAAGTATGTTCGACCAAATATCAAATGCATTTGGTAACGGTGATACAAAAATTAAACAACATTTTCAAAATATTTATAATTAACTCCTTTGAAATAAATGTGGTATAGAAAAATGTTATCATAACAAAAAATGTAGTTTTTAAGAAGGGTGGGGAGGGGAGAGAGCAAATGCATTGCGAGTTGTAAGCATTGATTTGACAAAATCTAAGATGGGGTAGGGGGAAATATGTATAAAAGCCAGAAACATTGTAATCTTCCCTAAGCAAGAAGTGTTATGTCAATGCCACATACAGTGTAGTAATTTGCCTTGAAGTCAGTGATTTTTTAATGTATATCAGTAAGTAATTGTCGACATTTGTATGAAAGTAACGCCGTTAGATATAAACTCTAGAAGGACCTTTAACAAACTACAATCTATCAATCTAGTTCTAAATTGTATTAAATTTTACGTTAAATAAATCTTGTGTCTAAATTAGGGGTAATCTATAATAAGTGCAATGTCCTTTACATTAATAAATCACCTCATACTTAATTAATTTTTGAATTCAGTATTTTCAAAGGTTTTAACCTTCTTTCTAGCTTTTTCCAAAAATCATACTCCATACTCATTTAGAAAATTTATTAACCATCTGATAACCTTCTGAATGATTCTCCTAATTCTGCATCAGTTGTATAGTTTGATTACATTTGAGCCTTATTGTCAGTATAATTTTTTTTATAGATCCTTAATGAGACATATGTAAATAATTTTAGCAAATAGTATTAAATATTACAAGTCCATTAAACACTACAAAATAAGACCAGGGCAAACACGGACCTCCAAAACATCGGATTTGGGATCGGGTGCCATGGAGGAGTGAGCATCCCCTGCCGACCGATCATACCCGTGCTCTGGTCATAATAGGGAAATAGCAAAAAATTGTCGTCAGCTCAGTGTATAAATAATGGAATAACAATTGACTTATAAGAAAACGACAGTCAGCATTTCATTTAAAAATAAATTGTATTTGCTGACAAGGTCCTTATAAATATATCAATCATATTATTTAACATCCCTCTGGAGAATTTTTCCCTTATTTATTACCTACAGAAGCTTTAAAATATGCGGAAAAAGAAAAAAAATGGTATTCATCCTCTCTTCTTCGGTAGAAGGTTGTGCAGGGGTTGAAACCCCCTTTTTGAATTCACAAAAAAGTAAAAGTGGGTTGCATGAAACTCTCTCTTTTAAATTTGCTAAAATGGGAGGTGTCAGGAAGATAAGAGTCCTGATTTTTTTCCCCGGATACGTTTACTTTTGTCTATTTTTAACCCCATAATTTTCGTAAAACGTTTTTTTTTTTCCATCAATATAACATCATAAACATTTTATTTTGAATGATCAATTCGAAGGTGTAACATTATATCAAGTCCATCATGTTCTTGTTCTTGTTGGAAAAGTAGAAGACACTCACCATTATTTTTTCTCTTGTCCTAACTATACTGAGGCTAGGAAGGAATTTTTCGACAAGTTTCTGAGATTCGATAAGGTTCACATTGTTGACACCCATACGTTACTGTGGGCCGATTCTTCTTTAAGTGTTGCTGAAAATCAATATCTTTTTCCATTGTACAATCATATATTCAGCAATCTGGCAGATTTAAATGATATTTTGTACATAATTGTGTATAGAGATTGTACATTACACACGTCATTGCATGCAGTTTATTATTAATCATGTTGTAAATTTATTAATATTTTTCGAAAACTGTGTAACACACATGTGGCTTAAATTTTATAAACTTTCCATGTAGGGAGAGGGCGAAATAAGTTTTGAGAACTTGTGCCCAATCCCATTGTACATGTATATTACGATAAAATATGTTCAATTCATCAAATCGAAAATATCATTATTTTCGTCAAGCTGGAAAAAATTAATATCTGTTTTTTTTATTCAACATTGCGTCTTTCCATACATACAAGAAGTTAAAATGTACAAAATAGAAGTATGGTTGAATATAAAAAGGTATGCACAGATTTATTTCAAAACATTTAAATTTAAAGGAATATTTTTGTTGTCGCTTTCAAAACCAATATATATAATATAAAAAAAACATAAATTCTAATATATGATAACTTTTGCACACATTTTTTTTCTGAAAAAAAAATAACGTTTTGGTAATTAATTCTAGACCAAACTCATTTTCAAATCACGAGGGAGGGGGTAATTCTAAATTAAGATTTTACATTACCATCGAATTCTAGAGCGGAAAAACACGTTTTATTAGAATTAAAGAAAAACCTTTTTGTTCGCGGTTGCGTTCCCCAACTAAGACTTGTTTGTTCAACATTCAACAAATTGATAATTAAATTATTTAAAATTTCATACCAAGCTTATCAAGATTTTTGCCTGTTGTTCGCTACAGAGGAAGGGGGTTGGGATGTCCAGACTTAGCAAAACTATTCATATAAATAGTAAAATACACATCTGTGTCTGTCATACGTTTCTTCTTCATTTTTCAAATGTTAATACAAATAAGGGTGTTTTTACGCGCATAAATAAAATTGAGTTGATTTTTATTCAATAGTTTTTAGCCGTGTCATTGAAACATTTCCAAGTTTATCATATTTTGTTGACTTTACCTTGAAATTGAAAAAAAAACTTGACCTAGCGAAGAAAAATAATCAACGAACAAGAAAAACTTTTTCTTCATATCAAATGGCTTTACTTATAAATTCCCGTTTTAGATCCGTCATCCAATCGTTTTATATTATATTCTTGTATTTCAACTGATTTTAATTTCCTAGCAAATTTTTTAAATACCCCTAGTTGCGTTTTTGTAAAACCAATTGATTAATATACAGATGACTCTTGATGGCTCGAACTCCGATCTCTCGAAGTGAACCTCCGGTCCCGTTTTTTTCCTTTATATGATTAAGCAAATTTACTCCTGGTCTCTCGAACTTCTATCTCTCGATCCAAAACCTGCGTCCCGTTTCACATAATTCATTGGATTTTACTCTCTATCTCTCGAATTTTTAATTGTGTGTGTATACACGCCGATCTAGCGTAAAATTGAGCCTGGACTTACCTGGAAAAACAGTAAACGCCTGGGGCTGGCATGGAGGTGTTAATTGGGTGTTTACATGGATGACACTACATCTGTGGGTCGTCCGTGTGTTGATATAATTAATTGGTTATTATCGGTAAATTACAAACAAATTCACAACTTATTTTGATTTAATTGAAACCGTGACGATAATTTTTAGAAAATAAATTAATAGGCGTTCGTTTCAAAAAGTTCCCATAGACTTTGAACTTTTATTAGAGTCTACATAATCCCAGTATGCCAATTATTGCACAAGAAATTCCTTTCTCAAGGACTGGATACCGATTAAGAAAATCGGATGAAGGACCCGATCAAGCCGCGGATTAGTCAAACCGACAATTGCTTTTCGGGTTTCATGAATAATCATGAAATAAGAACAAATAAATATTGAAACTTCGGGAATTCATTTTTTTTTATTAGAAATACGATCGTTGTTGTTAATATCAACTATGTTAGCAGTAAAATACGATAGAAAACGTGCAATAACTTTACTTACATATACTTTCGGTATTTATAATTGTAGAACATCGATGATCGGAACTGAAAATCCCGGATTTTATTTTCTTTCTATCTCTTGAACCCCTCGATCTCTCGAACTTTTCTTGCGGTCCCTTGAACTTCGAGAGATCGAGAGTCACATGTAGTTGG